GTCTTAGACTATATATCTCCCAAGAAAGAACAAAATGAGAAAAACAAGACATGGATTAAACCCTGCTCAAGTAATTAGCACCAAGCTGTGATGTCACAAACTGTTACTTCTTTTCAGGATCCAGATCTCGGTTGACCCTTTCATTCTTTATTACCATAGCTTCAAAGTTGTTTTACATTGTAATGCAAGTTAAAAGACCAGAATCTTGTTCCAAGAAATGTACAGTATAACTTTCAACATTGGGGAGTAACAAATGAAGGAGGAAGAATAAGAGAGGTGAGAATAGTAACTGTAGATCACATTCTGGGCAGAGCTTGAAAGTGCAATGTCTTTATTCTGGTCCTGATGTATCACTGTCGCTGTGACGTACCAGGCAGGTACTCAAGCTCAGCAGCAAAGCATGTGCTCTGTCTTAAAGGTCCCGGATTCAGTTCTGGAACTTCTTGTAAATACAGGTTTGCAGGATTGGAGGGTTGGGAAAGGCCTCTAATGCCTTGATGCGCCAGTGAAAACCAACAGTATTAAGCTAAGTAGAAGAACAGTGTGATTCTGTAGAAGGCAGCTATAGTATTTCAGATGAACTGTTTATAGTAGATGGATTATGTATCGGATTGCTACACAGAATATAGGTTCTTAAAATCTGGTTGCAGGCTTCTCGGAACTTCTTTATTCTGAAAGCGTAGATGATGGGGTTCATGACTGAATTGGAGTGTGAAAGAAGGATGCCTGTGTATATGACAGGTTTTGGGATATTTTTAGAATAGAAATGTATGATGCAGTTGATAATACACATTGGGAGCCAACAGACAGCAAATAAGAAGAGGACCAGGACCAAAGACTTAGCAGTCTTTAACTCATGTCTATAAAATACTCTTTGCCTTGTAACGTTCACTGAACAGTGTTTCAGCTTTGTGCGGATGATGCAGAAAATCTTTGCATAAAGGACACACATGAGAATCAGTGGGAAAAGGGTGCCAGCAAAGAAACTCAAGTATATCATGTATTCCATTTTCATAACTTTTATAAACTTGCATGTCACATTTTTGTTGCTGCTTTCTGCTGCGAAACCGAACATGGGAACAAATCCCATCAGTAGTGACAGGAGCCAGATGGCTGCCAGAATCACCCAGATTCTTTTCTCAGTAGTTATGGTTTTGTACCTGTTTCAGGGAAGAAAATGATGTGATAGTCTTTAAAACAGATAGATCTTAAATAACAGTGAATGGCTCAGTGAGATCTTGGAATATTGCCATCAATAACAGAAACATTGAATCATTACTTGGTGATTAAAAACAATAGGGACAGCTCACCCTGAAGTTATAATTTAGGCAAAGCCTATAAAATGATAAATACATGGATTTGGATGTTGGTTTATTGAAATTTAAGCATAATTTTTCCATAGTGGCAATATGTTTTATACTCATACAGAAATGAATATATTTATTACTTACTATGGATCAATTTAAATCTTATTCAAAATTGCAGTGTTGTAGTTCATTTTATTTCTCTTCTAAAGTATCTAATGGTGTTTTCATTTTTTGTACAGTGACATACATAAAAACGTAACAAGTATTACATTTCTATACCTCTCTGTATATTTAAAAGTGTGAAATGGGTCTTGCTGTGTTAGGGATCCCAGTCAAGAGCAGTTTTAGTGAAAAGCAAGTAATGCTCTTACATTAAGCTCTCCACTTTAGAGGTGTTTTTTCCCTTGAGAAAGGATTTGATTATTGGGAAGGCTCTTCCCAATAGATCTATTTAGACATGATTTCAGTGCATGCAATAATTACTTGGAAGCATTCTACATTCTTGGCCAACTCTTTTTTTCATGATCACTAGCTATTTAAACAACATTATTCTGAATTTACTAGTAACTGAAAACCCCTTTTTCCCTCTTTCTCCATTACCTCTCATTATTTCTACCTTCCTCCTCACTGCCAGAATTTTTTCTGTCCCTGCCCCATAGATGCTAGTGTATTACTCAACATATTACTTATAGTGTGACTGTTTTAATTGTCAGTTTAAGATAATTCTAACACTGTTAGCTGGTGCTTGGAAGATGAACCTAAGCTTGGTTGTTTGAATGTATGTCTTTAATTCTTTCAGTAAAATAATCCTTAGCTGAACTGTATTTAATTTCTGGCTATCCATATCCCTTACGGTGACCAGGTTTAACGTGTGAGCTTTAAAAAGATTTCTCCAAGTGTCTGAAAATGCACTTGCAGCTATGCTTGATGGTAAAAACAGCACACATTCCAGTCATTTTAAAGAAATTTTCTGAAGTATGCAACTATAAATGTTTACTTGCTGCTAGGTTTGCACAACTGTTTAATACCCAAAGGTACTCCTGAGACTTCGTACAAGGAATTAAACGAATGACCATAGGTTTATGATTGTTTTCTTTCCCCTGTCCTTATAAAATGACTTTATTTTCAACAATGATAGCCCTGGGGAGATTCTTATTTAAATCTATGCTGAAGAATATAAATTAGTACTCTGCACAAGATAACCATTTAAATATTGGCATCCAAACCACCATTGAAAAATAAGCTAATCAGGTATAACTCACCGGACAAGCAGCCTCACTTTCAAATATCTGTCGATTGCTATGGCAAGCAAGGACAGGATGGAGGCTTGAGTAAAAGCCACAAGCAGGCAACACATGAAGAGGCAGGCTTCGTATATCATACTGATTTCTAGGCTCACTACAATAGCCGCTGGCATGGCAATTCCAACAGTGATATCAGCTACTGCCAATGAGACAATGAAGTAGTAGATGGTCTTCTGAAACGCTGGGGTAAACTTCACCACCCAGATCACCAGGATATTGCCTAGGATGGCAAACACTGCAATCACAGTCTCGAAGGCAATATAAATGATAATCCCAGGTTCTGGCATCTTGGGAACCCAGACCCAGCCCTCAAGCTGAGGAAAGTGTAAATAGCTTGAAATTGGTGACTTTCCTGAAGCAAAAACCAAAAAAGCTTTGACTAGAGTTTAAGTATCTTGACATTAATGAGGGAAGATCACGTGTATCTCATGATGCCTTCGTCATCATAAATTGCTCAAATGCCATTGCCACACCTTCCTGTAGATAAGCACTCCAGATACTTAAGTATGAAAATTCTTAAGAACAAAGAGCAAGTCAGTGGTTTCAAGCAATGTTGTTTGTGGTATTTAACCACAAATGAAAAAGCCAGATATTTCTAAATGCAGATACCGTATTTTTCGCTCTATAAGACGCACCTAGTTTTTAGAGGAGGGATCCATGGAAAGCTTCTTGATAATCAAAGGCACATTCCCCATCACTTCCCCATGGGCTTCATTAAAAGACGGGTTGCCATTTGAAAACACACACTGACCTGTGATTAACAGCTCTCACCTGCGCCGGAGGAGGGGGGCGGAGCAGGGCTTGCCGAGTGTGTTCCGGCCAGGTGTGGTGCAGCCAGGCCGGCAGTGTGCCGGTGGTGGTCTTCCAGGCGGCGCAGCCGCAGCGGTAGGTCTTCCCAGGCGGTGGGGGTGAGCAGTCTGTCTCTCCGTGCGGCCGACGGGTTAAAGCCCACAGCTGCTCTTCCTCCGCACCGCTCCCCCTGAGCGGCACAGCTCTCACCTGCACCGGGGGGGGGGGGGGGGGGGAGAAGCACACGCTGAGTGCATGCCAGCCGGGTGGTGCAGGCGGGCCGGCAGCGTCCCAGGCATCGGGCACACACACATTCGCTCTATAAGACGCACAGACATTTCCCCTTACTTTTGAGGGGGAAAAAAGTGCGTCTTACAGAGCGAAAAATACGGTATTTACAGAGGGAAGCTTGACATGTCACAGTGCATAGAGATCTATACAGTGTGGTCTCTAAGACACCCAGTCCTGCTGCATCTTATCATTCTTGATTTTCTTTGGACTCTATCTTTCTTAAGTTGCTTCTGATGCTCATTGTGAGCTAAATGTATTTACATTTCGGTTAAAACTGCCTGATGTTGGGATAAGAGTATCTGTGGTGAAAGGGAGTGTTGAAGGAATATATCTGGCCTTGAAACCACAAAGGAGAAAGTGCTTCAAATCTCTCCTCAACAGATGCAGGAACATAAGCCACTCCCAATTGCAAGGGTATGGTGAAAATCAGGCTTTCCCCCTTGATATTTTAGACCATATGTGCACTGAGAAGTAAACAGCAGTGTGTACAGTTTGCTGTCAAAGAACGGCTGAGGATGTGAAGTATTCATTGTCCCTCCTCAGCACCACCACTTTTGGGGCCAGTGCAAGAGCAGGTTGCAGTGATGAGGAGTAGGAGAAATTTGAGGGGGTTCTTGTCGGGGGGTCCTGCTGTTGCGTGAGGCCTTAGCAGATGATAAGTAAACATGCTTGATACTGGCTATGCTTTAGGGGCTGTGGCTCAGTGGTCAAGTGTGCAGAAGGCCTTAGATTGGATCCCTGGTATTTCTGGGTATGTCTAGGAAGGGATTCTTGTCTGAAACCAAGAGACTTGCTTCCAGTCAGTGCCAACAGTAATTGGCTAGATAAAGCAAGGCTAAATTTAACTTGAAATTACAGTGTAAGTGTGTAGAGCTTCCCCACAAATATTTGCTTCTCTGTTTGAAGATGTGTTCCACTTCCTTGCAGGTCTGTTTTCACAATTTCCTCACTTGCTTAATTTTGATGTATCTCAGAACATTCTTAGGAAAAACAGGCTATTGCTGAAAATATCTCAGGAATCACAGATTCACAGAACAGCTGGGTGAGAAGGGGCCAGGAAGTCCATCAAGTCCAACTCCCTGCTAGTGCAGGATGCTGATTACACCATCCTGATCAGATAACTGTCCAATTGCTTCTTGAATGCATCTAGTGTGGAAGAGCACACAACCGCTCTTGGCAGCTGGTTCCACAGTCGTACTGCTCTCACAGTCAAGAAATTCTTCTTTGTATCTAACCTGCACCTCATGTACTGTAGCTTAAGTTCATTATTCTATGTTCTACAATCTGGAGTGCATGAGAATAGGTCTTTCCCTTCTTTGTGACAGTCTTTGAGGTACTTTTTTGTGGCTGCATCACCCTGCTGGCTCATATACTTAGCTTGTTGCCCTACAGGAACTCCAAGGTCTTTTTCAGTGCTGTTGAATCCAGTATTCCCCTTCTTGTACCAATGCAGCTGGTTTTGTTTTGTTTTGTTTTGTTTTGTTGCCTAGGTGGAGAACTTGGTATTTCTCTCCACTGAATTTCATTTTGTTTTCTGTCCAGCATTCAAGACTGTCTAGATCTCTCTGGATATCTTTCCTTTCCTTTCCTTTCCTTTCCTTTCCTTTCCTTTCCTTTCCTTTCCTTGGTCTTCCAGGGTGTAAGCTATTCCACCTAGTGTATTATCATCTGTAAATTCAATTATCTTGCCCTGGATTTCCTTATCAAGATTGTTAATAAAGATGTTGAAGAATACTGGTCCCAGGACTGAACCCTGCAGTACCCCACTGGTGATTTCTCTCTAGGTTGAAAAACTACACTTAATGGTCACTCTCTGTGACCTATTTTGAAGCCTGTTGTGAATCCACCTAGTAGTAGTTCTTTCAAGCACACATTTTGCTATTTTATTTATTAGGATATCTGTGACCCTGTGTTGAAGGCTTGCAAAAGTCTAGGTAAATAATGTCGACTGCATTTCCTCTGTCCCTTTGGGTGGTAACCCAGTCAAAGAAGGAGATTAGGTTGGTTTGGCATGACTGATTCTTAAGAAATCCATGTTGGCTTGTGCTTATCACTACAAGTTGTATACAGACTGCTTTTTTAATGATTTGCTCCAGTACTTTCCCAGAGATTGAAGTTAGACTAACTGGTCTATAGTTCCTGGTTCATCTTTCTTCCCTTTCTTGTTGATGGGGACCACATCAGTATTCCTCCAGTCAACTGGCACTTCCCCTGTTCTCCAAGAATTCTCAAATATTGTTAATACTGGCTCAGAGTATTCTTGTGCCGGTTATTTTAATACTCTAGGATGGAGGCTGTCAGGTCCTGGAGATCTGAATGCATCTTGACCATTTGTTTGTTGGTCTTAGGCTGCTATCCTTCCCTTTCATTTTGCATCACCTCTTCTGTAGGTAGGTCATATTTTCTTTTGTGCAAGAAGATTGATTTGAAGTAGGAGATGGAATCCCTGCCTTTTCCTTGTCTTCTATTATTTTTTGCCATCCTTGACAATTTGTTGTATGCCTCTCTTTTGTTTGTTTTTTATTTTGTGCATAGCTGTAGAAGACTTTCTTATTATTTTTAGCATGCCTCACTAGTTTCAGTTCCGAACTTCCTTTCACCTTCCTGTCTCTTGTCCTTGCAAGTTTTTTTGTCTGTTTATACTCTTCTTTTTAGGCTTGACCACCTTTCCACTTCCTGTACATTTTCTCCTTAGCTCTTAAGTTGTATCGCAACTTTTTTTATGGAGCCATGAGGGGGTTTTGCTGTTGTTGTTGTATTGGTAGTTTTCTATTATTTTTCTTCGTTGTTATTAGTTGTGCTTTAAGATTTTTTTTAACATTTCCCATCCCTCCTGGACTCCTCTCTCCTTTAGGGTGAGTTGCCGGGGGACTTTGCTTATCATTGACTTGAATTTCTTAAAATTGGCCCTTTTGAAGTCCAGGATACATGTTTGGCTGCAGCAGACATTTGCCATCCTCTTAAAAGAGAACTCAAGAATGCTGTGGTCACTTTCACCCAGGGAACCCATGGTTGTTACTCTATCTACCAGATCATCTTTGCTGGTTAGTATTAATTCTAATGCACCTGTTACCCTTGTCTTTTCCTCCACTATCTGCTGGAGGATATTATCAGCCCCACATGGGAGGAATCTCTTGGAGGGGCCATGTATAACTGAATGTGCCTCCTAGAAAATAACAGAGAAGTTGAAACTGCCCATGATGACCATATCATGTCTTTTAGTCACACTGGCTAATTGTTTTTCAAAGATAATGTCTTTGTCTTCTCTTTGATTTGGTGGATGGTAGTAGACACCAATTTCTATGTTGCTGTTATTTTTGTTATCCTCTTAGATTGACCCAATGGCCACTTGGCTCCTCCTCCTGTAATTCACTGCAGATATAAGTATTCCTGGTGTATAGTATGACTCCCCAAGCCTTTTATTCCTTCTATTTTATTTGAAGAGGTTGGACCCATCTATTTTTGAAGTCCAACTGTGCGAATCACCCCCACCACATTTCAGTAATCACCACAAGATTGTAGTTGCCTTCATGTACCTGGAGTTCAAGTTCCTCTTCTGATGCTAATCTAGCTTTCTTTAAGATATGTTCTGCATACAGATAGAAGAGATAGGGAGGTAAAATTCAACCTTGGCTAACACCTGCATCTATTGGAAGCTGTTCTGTTTCTCTACTTTCTGTCCTAAAAGTATCTCTTGTCCGCAATACAGGTCACACAGCAGGGCAATCAAGTGCGGAGGCATCCTCATTTCTTTCTGAACCTTCCCGAGGCTCATGCGAATGGGACGGCATACAAAAACTCCAAACAAACAAACAAACAAACAAACAAACCACCATCAAAGTCTTTGCTGTAGTTAGTTAAGCAAGAACTGATCTTCTTCTGAACATCCTTGGTGCGCTCCAGTAGCCAATGTATGTTTACAATGTGAGCTTACATGGTTCTTCCTTTCAGAATCCAGCTTTAATGTCAGGTGCTTCTTGCTCCATCTAGACTAATATCCTGTGTTGCAACACCTTAAGTATCACTTTGCTTAAATGGGAAATTAGTGTGCTTGTCCTATAACTGCTGCACACCTTCACATCTCCTTTCTTGGGGATTGGAATGATATTGAATATTTCTAGTCTATGGGCCACCATTTTG